CCACACTTGTCTTTTGCTTGCCCTCAAGCAAAACTGCATTTTAACACATTAGAATCATATATATAACTCCAATCTAACCCAGCCATTATGCCAAGACCGCAACGCATGCATTTGTGTCTAAAATTTTCCTAATAACCCCCCATACTCCAAATACTCACAATCCTCATAAACATTCGCCCAACTCACCCGAACTATACTCATTTTATGCAACCCTCCGAATCCATCCTCAGAAAACCTTCTTTACCCTCAAGGTATTTTTAATTGAGCAACCCAAGCATACATATTCTAGAATTACAACTTTTCGATACCACTATGAATTCTTTGAATTCTTCACTTGCTTGATAATTTGATCTTTGATATCTTTGAATTCACCAACTTGTATTGACTTTTGGTATCTTCAACTTTTTGGATTTCTTGGAATTTTGATCTTTAGACCTTCACTTCATTTGCTCCAAAATTCTTACAATTTTTCTTGTAATTCTCTTTTTTTTTTCTTTTTACATGTATACCTCACTTTTTTTTCACTCAAATCCCTACATGCTTAAGCAGGGGCGCTCAATCTCAACCTTTATTGGCTAATGATAAAAATTTCCCTGGATACATTTCAGGTTTAGGCTGCTAAACATATTGCATCCCTCAGGCTGAGCAAGGTCGTGTTTTTGTCTCATGATTTCACTGAAATAAGGAAGCCACAAATGCACTAGAACGTATATAAGCTCAACTAAACATTTGGGTTTTCATGCAATTATTAACACAATTCTAATATGGAATCCTAATTTTTTTACCAAAATTTTCTAAATTAAATCCTAAATAATACTTTTGGTATGCAATTTTTTTTTTAAAATTGACTATTATGTAATTGACTATTATGTAACCAACCCCCTACCCCACACTTATGTGATGCAATGCCCTCATTGCATATTATGCATAAAAACAGAAAAATAAAGAGGGAATTGGAACAAACTCCCCTGGGATAGCAGTGGATAGGTTGATCACTCTTATTTAAGCTCCAACTTCAATAAACTTTATACATGGGAACATCTCATCCATGTCTCGTGTGTTTCGTCTCGTGTGGGTCGCTCCAAATATGCGAAAATCGGTGTAAGATCTTCAAGAATGGATATGGAATTAGAAGGAAGCAAGTGGTATAAGTATTAGCATCAAATCAGCAGTCGTTCGGCATAAAAATGAACGACTCGTCGAGTCTTATGATGGACTCGTCGAGTAGCAGCGCGCCTTCTCAGAATTTGTGGAAATACAAGGCGACTCGTCGAGTCAGCTTAGTGCACTCGACGAGTTGGCCACTGAACGAAAAATCTTGGTTTGTGGCAACTGTTTTAGCCTCTAGAAACTTCTTTAACCCTTCCTCACATGCGGACTCAATTGCTCATACCCCTAGGACCGGACTCGACACTTTGACGTTAAAAATCCGCTTCCTTGACTCGCTCTCACTCGCAAAAACATCCATGCTTTACATCTCTATACCATCCTAAGCAAGCAATCATAATTCAATCCTAAAAAATAACTAAAGCAAACAACCATTAAACATAATAAAATCTCAAAGCATACACACCAAAAAAAACAAAATAAAAATTGAAGTTGTTGGATTCTAGCTTCCTTGGTCGACTTCTAGGGTTCTCCTAGCTTCTTATTCGCAGCTAAGCACTTCTGAAACTTCCCAGAATTCTCCCTTCTCGATTTGTGGAGTTATCTTTATATATGCGTTCCGACTCGTCGAGTCATATTGTGGTAAGTATTCCTGCCTGTCACTCGGGTGACCCCCTACCCCACACTTATGTGATGCAATGCCCTCATTGCATATTATGCATAAAAACAGAAAAATAAAGAGGGAATTGGAACAAACTCCCCTGGGATAGTAGTGGATAGGTTGATCACTCTCATTTAAGCTCCAACTTCAATAAACTTTATACATGGGAACAGCCCATCCATGTCTCGTGTGTTTCGTCTCGTGTGGGTCGCTCCAAATATGCGAAAATCGGTGTAAGATCTTCAAGAATGGATATGGAATTAGAAGGAACCAAGTGGTATAAGTATTAGCATCAAATCAGCAGTCGTTCGGCATAAAAATGAACGACTCGTCGAGTCTTATGATGGACTCATCGAGTAGCAGCGCGCCTTCTCAGAATTTGTGGAAATACAAGGCGACTCGTCGAGTCAGCTTAGTGCACTCGACGAGTTGGCCACTGAACGAAAAATCTTGGTATGTGGCAACTGTTTTAGCCTCTAAAAACTTCTTTAATCCTTCCTCACATGTGGACTCAATTGCTCATACCCCTAGGACCGGACTCGACACTTTGACGTTAAAAACCCGCTTCCTTGACTCGCTCTCACTCGCAAAAACATCCATGCTTTACATCTCTATACCATCCTAAGCAAGCAATCATAATTCAATCCTGAAAAATAACTAAAGCAAACAACCATTAAACATAATAAAATCTCAAAGCATACACACCAAAAAAAAACAAAATAAAAATTGAAGTTGTTTGATTAAAAACACAAAAACATCAAAATCAATCTTCATCCTCCCCATCATCATTGTTGGCTCCACTTCCCCCGACTCCGCTTCGTCGCGCACCAATCCTCTCATCCCAAGATGGAATGAATGGGTAATTCCCACCATCAATATGTGGAATATTGAAGTGGTCAAAAAGTCGTATGTGGGATTGGTTGCTAAAGTTCAGCCCCCTCGCCATTTGATCCTGCATCCGCCTCAACTCTACATTGTACCAATCCATTGGTACGTCTTCATTCTCGACTGGAATCACTGGCGGCTCGTCCTCCACATCCCGTTCTCTTCTTGATCTCACCCTCCTTCTCGGTGCTTCGGGACCAACAACTGGGTCATCATTTGGGATGGCATAATGGCCACCACCATAGTCTTCAATTATCCGTGCTCTTCGGAAAAGAATGGGATTAAACGGGGGTGTCGGGATCAATTTTCATGAAGTTCCAGACACCACGGTTCATCAACCCGAATGAATTAGCCAATCGAGTGACAAACATCCCCTCCATTGATACGAGAGGTTTTGCGATCTTTGACCGCACCCTCCGAGAGATATGAAGCAATACACCACGGGATGTTGCAAAAGACGCCGGGTGTTATTATGCTCCATAGGTAGAAAACGTCAAGGTTGGAGGCCTTGTCATTGTCTTTCCTTTAGTTGATGGTGGAGGAAATAAGGCGGTGAATGAGGCGGTGAGTCGGGGATCGGATGCTCCCTTCTTGTGCAGACTTTGGGATGTAAACTTTATTTCCTATAGTATTCCACCAACCCGTGCTTGTAACTCCACCGGGGAACACCATGTGAGTGCTTGCCAAAAAGGCCCGAAAGATGTTTGTTGACACCAAGGGTTGATCATAGATCCCTAGTCGGCAGGCAAGGTCCACCACCGAGCATTGACGATACTCGCCCCCAAGACAAAAAGTAAAGCTCACCGGATGATACACATCCACTCCCCCGGTAAAAGATACCGTGGAGAAAAACTCCAAGCAAAGCTCTAAATAGACCGGCTCTTGTATGCAGAAGACCCGGCTCCACCCATCGCAGATCATTGTCTCGCCTTCATGTTGGAACTCCTTCAAAAGGTAAGGAGCTAATTCTTCTTCATATCTAACACTTTGCAGCCACTCCCAATCAATTCTGTTCGGCACATACACCTCCTTCTTTTTAATGTCGGAGAGCTTCTTCTTCCACTTCCTCATTATTGAAGCGGATTCAATTTGCGGGAAATTTAGCCATGGAAACTCCCCTTGGCTACCACTAGAAGATTGTCCTCTTCTGAACATGATTTCTGCAAAACGTATACACAAAACCCAGAAAACACAGAATATAATTAAAAACTGGATTGTCTCTGTAAATCGACTGGACTCGTCGAGTCCATGCCCGACTCAGCAAGTCGCGCAACCTGCACGAGTCGGTCGACGGGTCTCATCAAATTGGACCATTAAACCTGTAAATTCTTTCAAGGGTTTTGTCTCAACACTTAGTATTGATGTATTAAGGCCAAAATAAGCATTCAAAACAACTTAATTCATGAGAAATCAAAACCCTAGAAATTTGGAACTTCTCAAAAACGGGTTTTTCATGCAATTTCTACCTTGGATAGCCTTATAATCATGCTCTTAACATAAAATAGGAAGAAATTTGATACCTTTTTGGATTGTGCTTAAGAATTTTGGAAGATCTTGAAGAACTTGATGAATGCTTGAGGGAGAAGTTGCAAAAACGGCCCGTCGAGTGTATAAGTGAAACTGATTCTTTAGGGTTAAAACCCTACTTACCCAATGTAAAATTAATTTTGAATTTTTTTTTTCTGTAAATACGACCGACTCGTCGAGTCGTGGTCAGACTCGCCGAGTCTAGTCGCGAAGTCAAATGCTTTTCTGGAATCCATGTGGACTCGTCGAGTCGTGGTCAGACTCGGCGAGTCATTTAAAAATTTGCATAATTTTCAAAAAATTTCTATTTATTATGAATCATTTCACCCCACACTTAGGCTATGCACACTCTCAAGCAGACATGCCCGATGATTTGGAAGATTATGAATAAAAACGAAGGGGAAATAAAAAATAAATAAATAAATAAAAACTAAAAGTAAAAGAAAGCAAACTCTATATAACGGGTTGCCTCCCGCCAAGCGCTTCTTTTTGAGGAGTCATGAGCTAGACTCCTTCCCATCTACGTTTTGTCATCTTCGAGCATCGGGAACACACGCCTAACTTTTTGTGATTTGTACTTGGTCTTGTAAGCGTGGATCTTTTTCTTGTAAGCCCTTTTTAATTCATCTTTTTTTCTTTTCATTGCTTCATCTTCAGCTGCTTGGGCTTG